GAGAACTGGAAAGGCGAGGCTCACCACCCATTTATCCCTCCGCCTTTCAACCAGCCCCACATGTGATTATCGGCCAGGCTGGCACAATTAACTAACTCATGCTCTAACTTGTCTAGGAGCCAGATGAGCAGATTGCACTCTACCTCTGGGTGTCTCTTCAGTCAGAAAACCGGAATCATCCTCCACCCGACCTCCTGCAGGTGCAGGGTGGGTTGTCAAGATAGTAATGTCTATAAAACAGAGTATGCCCGCGAGCACTAGAGTGGTTCTCATCCTGAGTGCCTGTTAGATCCACCTAGAAAACTCTCAAAATCCCCTACACCGATGATAACTCTCCCCACTTACTAACATGGTTAAGTTTCAAAGACCAGATGGTTATGCGAAAATTAACGTGAAAATGGAGGATGACTACATCATCTCGTGAAAGGGGAGATGATGACACCATTATGTCATTGCCAAAGCATTGAGAATAAAGGCCCAGCCAAGTCGACACAACCATCAGAGCCACTGTTCTTCACACCTCCACCTCGGCATTTGTTATCACCAAATGCACATCACTACTGCACAAAATGGCCAAATAGATTTTTTGGTTGTCAGAAATCCAAAGTGTCAGAGAACAAGGTAGGCTATATGTGAGACGTAGGTGTACATCTGGGTGCCTCAAGGTAACTTGATGTTCCTTTGGTGATTCAAAGGTGCAACTAGAGGGAAGAATTGCTGCTCTAAACAGTGGTTCTCCATTGAGGGTGTTTAGCTTCCCTACCAACCCTCTCTCTGGGGGAGTGAAGTCATGCCCGCACACGCATTTGATTGTCATGACTGCAGGGAAAGGAGCTACTGACACTGAGCAGAGGCCAAGGACCCTGCTAAGCATCCCATCAGGCACAGCGGTTTCTCACAACAAAGAATTATCTACCACAAATGTTGTCAATCGTGATGAAGCTAAGAAACCCTACCCTAGATAAATGTAAAAAAATAAATAAAATCACAGGTGGATTTTTATTTCAGAGGTCATTTTCCTAGCTTAGACCAAGGAAGGGAGCCCTGGTGGTGTAGTGGTTACTTATTGAGCTGGGATGCACAAAGCCAGCAGTTCAAGGCCACCAGTTGCTCCCCTGGAGGAAGACAGGACTTTCTACTCCTGTGAAGAGTGACTGGCTTGGAAGCCCACAGGGAAGGGAGAGAGAGACCAAGGAAAAAGAGCCTTGGTGGAGCAGCAGTTCAA